AATAAGAACGCAGCCATTTCTCTAAGAAACGTCTGTTTTCATTGTCACAAAAATGTAATACATAAAAAGGTAATTAAACGTATTAGTATTTATTTACAGTTAAAGTTAAACTCTTTCACTTAAGTTCGGCGGGCTATTTTAAATCATCATGCGGGCCGTAATTGGCCCGCGGGCCGCGGTTTGGAAATCCTGTCCTAAATCCTATTATTATTTATATAATGATATTTCGTCGACGGGAAGTTCAAAAACGAAAAACACTGATGGATATTTAATTAAAACACTTTAACAGAGAGAAAAATCTTATCCAAGACATCTTTACGATTTGACTGTTCCTTAATTATAATATGAAAAAAATGTCATACAAAAATATATGGTCAAAGAAAACCAAAAATTTGAAATAATAAAAATCAACATCACATCTTTTCGATCAGAAATGACCGAATCTCATTATTCCACGTTAAATTTAATAATTACGTGATTTAAATAAAGAATAAAAAATATCTTTGGAACCAGATGAAATCATGTTTTGAATATACGCTAATTTTTCAAAAATCAATACACAAAATATACAAGATTTTGTAAATATAAAAGGTCAACAGGGCATTTTGTGATTAAAAGGGACAAAGTTATATTTTTCATTCAAGACATATTAGCTCTAAATATATTAACGGGTATAATGAATATAAACAAAACAACCTAATAAATTGCAGTTCTACCCGGAATAAGGGCAGACGAATGAAATTCAATATCTAAAAAACATAAAATTTGCAATTTTCAAAACACCCCACCTTTTTGTTGCGGGTACTTTGTATTATTGTTATATCGGGTGGCCCATGCCCAATGTTATAAATTATCAAAATGATTTGGGTCTAGAGACGCATTCTCAAATGCGTTACAGTCCCCGGTATTTTTATATAATGAAATTTGTATTAACTTCGATTTAATCTATCAGTCGCTTGGGAAGAAAAAAAAACTTTTTGGTAATATGATTATGTATTCCATTTTAAGTTGATGTTTGAGTAAGTTGGCGCTGAATTGTACTATAAAGTAAATAGGCATACGAAATATTGTTTATATTGATTAGGCATTGTTACTTCGTCAACCTGTTGTCTTACTTCCACTTGTATATAAAATTCTCGAAATAAGATAATTGTTGTTGTTTTCGAGTTTGTCGTAGTCATAATTCCTAATAAATTAAACTGAGGTGTTACCAGCCAAGTAAATTAGCGCTGCCATGCCTGTATCCGCTTTAACAAATTCTTATTTTTAAAATTTTAAAAAGTACCACAATTTTGTTTATTGGGCATAAAACTGTAAAATAACGACTTAACGACTGTGGGATATTATATTTAATGATCAGGTTTGATACAGAAGGTCGCGTAGTATTATCAAACTTTACATTATTCATTATAATAGTATAATAATTGGTTTATTTTACTTGTGACTGTAGGAAACCATGTCGGTGCGATTCTCTCAATATTTTATTTATTCCCGGAGATACTTAAGTGGTAATGCAATCACTATCCATTAATATATTGAAAGGAATCTTTTATTGTTAAAGTAAAAAATATCTTCTTTTTGCTCTGCGAAAAAAATGTTGATCAATTAAAAAACAGGGCAATTCAGGAGTCTGGTATAATATTGCACCACAAGTACTTCTCATGAGCATAGCACAACAATAATTTTTAGGTAGGTAATTTCGTACCCCAATCTGACAACGTCTTTCTTTTTATTTCCGTCACTACGACGTCACATTGACATAATTAGGCTCGCCAAGATATACGGACAGTCGTTTTCAATACGAGTAGATGAGCGCCTAAAATCCGACAAACTACGTCATATATTAAGTCACACGTTTTCAACAATATAGAGAAGGGACATCGTAAATATCATATAAAGCGTATGCGTAAAATGTTAACCGTATCCGCTTAGGGCCTAGGCCAGGGTTGGGCAACCCCTAGCACGCGAGCCCATTTATTCAGGCCTCGGAAACGAGATTATTCTACTTCAGATGAAAAGTTTCAAGACTGATTTATCCGATGAAACTCGGTGCCCGTTTATTCATTATGGTTTGTTAACAACCCGTTATTTATTAAAACTCTTTTTGTCCTTCCATGACATATGACTACAAAACAGTATATTATGAAGTAACAAATGAGTTAGCTCTCGAGAAGAGCGCAGCTTCTTCTGAGCGCACCACCCTTCTTTTATATTTCTGCTAATATTGAACAAGAGAGCTATGCTCAAATATATGGACACGTTTGAAGTAAATGAAAGTAATAGCCGTCTAAAAAAAATGTTATCTTTAAGCACTAAAAATTTCAGAGCAATTGGTCCAGTAATAAAAGAGAAAAGCGACTTTTTAGGTTTAGGTAGAAAGTGGGCGTGGCTTTTCACACGTTTTCTCGCCTCTCTGGGCGGAGACACTGCCCCCACGCTAATCGATGGCTTGATTGACAGGTAGGTAGCCTATTCCGGACCACTAAAAGGCTGTTTTGGCCCACATCCCTTTGCCCAATCGTTAAGAAATTTTTTCCGTGTCAGTTTGGTAACACTTCCACGGTTCACACCAAATTTCGTCCGGATCGACCCGCCATTTCTATGGGAGGTGGTCAAAGCCTTACCCCAGTACCTGTTGCCGTAGGTCTGTTATTCGATCGTGTAACGGTTCTTTTCTGACATATAAAAACTCAATTCAATTTGCTCTTATCAAAATTAACAAATACGGTAGGCTAGATTTGTTATAAAACCTACATTATGCAATAGTAAGATCGCGTAAGGAATAAGTCAATTTCACTGTGGTACGGTCACTTAGCAGCACCGAACCCGCAGGCTTGACCACGCAACCGCTTGGAATAAGTTTCAAAACAGTGTTCCCATGAGTAAATTTTAGAACAGCGAAATTTTGAATGAAATATCAGATCTCATAGAATTCATAGAAAATTTAGGAATAAATAAAGAATAGCCTTCTGAAACAAAAATCAAACTTTAACCACTGAAAATTTCAAAGCAATTGGTCCAGTATTCGAAGAGAAAAGCGATTTTATAATGATAATGACGAAGAAGAATAACAATAAGAAGAGTGTCAGCATAAAATGCAAAACGATCGTTATGTCCACTACGTGTCCAATAAGAAAAGTAATCAAATCTATTTGTAGGACTGATTATTTCCCGAATAGTGAATCTGCCTGTACATGTTCAAACGGTTTATTATTGTGTATCTTTGCTTTGAAAGTAGCAATGCATTGTTTGTTATTTTGGTTGGCACGCAGATGAATTTTGTCGTTAAATTTAGCCGTTTTTGGCACGCGAGCCGTAAAAGGTTGCCCACCACTGGCCTAGGCCAACGTCGGGAAAGCATAAGTGGCGTCGGGAGTGCGTTTCCTGCCAATTCAGTCAGTGATGTCCAGTACCGCAGACATTTTTTATAAAACCTTATTTGTTCTTACCAAATCGGGGTCTGGGCGAGACAAAAACAGCGGAGTAAGTGCATTTTCTACCAGCATTTTCAAGGGTGATGTACAGCATACACATCACCACACGTGTCTGATCGGCACATATGACCTAATGAGTAACGTTTCTGCACAATGCACCTATATTTGAATCAGCTCTATGTCGTGTTTTTACGCTCCGTTGTAATTAATTCAGCTTTATAGCATGATTGTTACGTAAATTTTTTGGATGGAATAGTCGCATGTGGGTTAGGGCTACCAACCGTCCCGGAAGGACCGGGATAGTCTTGGAATTGACATCTGGCGTCCCGTATCCCGAGAAGGGTTACGGTTCTGAAATAGAAACTCATATAAGCGTGTCGGCTTTATTCAAAACTGGAAACGGATGTCTGGATAGGATTTCATAACTTACGCAAATATTTTTCTTTTAAATAAAACGATTACATCTGTATTGTTTTATTATTTTAATGGTGCTTATAACTGGCTTAGTTTTGTGCACCAGGACTACGATATTACGCGTTGGTTGTTCAAATACTTCGACCCATTATGAGGACGTATTCTATAACAAAAGATAAAAATCTGGATTTGTTAGTAAATTATTAAGATTTACGGGGCATATATTCAGTTCTTTGCAATGATTAATTAAAATGATCTTGGGTCACAGCAGGGACAATGTAATATATTAAATGTATTACGGCCGCTGTTCACGATGCTACGAATCTAACAGTCTATTTAACCCTTTTGTCGCAGACTCGCAGTCGTATGTTCCGCCGTGTAGGTATAACCGTCGTTTAACTCACTGCTGCACTCACTGAAACCCCAAGAAACTGTCCAGCACAATGTTTTGATGTTACTTCCAAATCGTGTTCAAAAATGACCAAATGAAATAACTTAGATGTTATGAAGCGTTCCAAAATAGTGTCTCAGTGGACTGATGAAATATTCCAATATAAAGTCTCAATGAATTGAAGAAGTGTGTAAACTGCAATTAAAATAAGAGTAAAACTTATAAGCAAAACACAACAGTGATGATCTAAAAATACCAGAGACATTGGCAAAATACAGTATAGGCTACCGGTACTTGATCACACGATAAAGAAGGCATGAATAACTTATGAATAAAGAGCAGTGTTTTACTTGTTCTATACTAATATGAATTTGGAATGAAAATCATATATTAAGCAAGTAGGAACACTCAGCAAATGAATTCCTAAATACAGAAATATCTTCACATAAAATATGACTTACCGATTTTTTCGGCTAATAATATCACAAACAAGCAGGTACTTCAATATTTAACATTTAAACAATCTTAACTGTATGGAAAAGAATAATATATTAGACCAAATCAGAGAAGCACAAACCCTGTCAGCCTGTTCAACAAAATCCTGAAAATGGCGCAACCACGAGACAAACTTGCGCAACAATCTAAAGTACCACAATGAGGCGACAAAGGGCAATAAATAAAATGACGGCTGAGCCATCATTTACATGGCTCCCCTAGAAATGCTATTTCTATACTAAAATAAAATTACAATTTCACAATGTCTATTTCTGGCTCCCTCGTCGGGAATCTTCTCCCGTATCTCCACTCTCCAAGAAAAGAATCAACTTTTGGATTGGACGATCAAGAAAGAGAACATCCTTTATACGCTTTCCTCTCTCATCGAGTGTTGAATCTCCTATGTGAACTCGAACTCTTCGAACATGACCATCTGCATCGGGATAGACATCAACAATTCTTGCCATCTTCCACTGATTTCTTGGTGTATTTTCGTCAACGACTATGACAATATCACCAATTTTGAGGTCACGTTGAACTTTGTTCCACTTTTGACGAACTTGGAGTGATTGTAAATATTCTTTACGAAATCGAATCCAAAATTCATTGGCTAAATGCTGTACTCTCCTCCATCTTTTACGCGAGTACAAATCTTCCCTTCCAAATACACCTGGTGGTGGTAATACAAGTCTTGTCTTCGCAGTCAACAAATGATTAGGCGTCAGAGGCAGTGGTGAATCAGGACATGACAAATTATCCACAACTAGAGGACGTCCATTGACAACTGCTTCAGCCTCTGCCATCAGAGTGCGAAGAGAATCCTCATCTAGTTGCCTTCCATTCTTTTCCAGGATGGATGAAAGAACTGCTCTAATACTACGAATTTGACGTTCCCAAACACCTCCCTGATAACTTGCAGCGCTGACATTGAACTTGAATGGGAAATAATCACAATTTTCTCGAAGTAAAACTTCTTGAATTTTTGAATGATTCATTGCCTGTAGACCCTCTTTTAATTCTCTTGATGCTCCAACCATGTTGGTTCCACGGTCACATCTCAGTTGTCTGATTGGCCCATTTCTGCAAATAAATCTTCTTAGAGCATTTATAAAGCTGTCGGTTTCTAAACTTGGGGCGATTTCAACACGAACAGCACGCGATGCCATACATGTAAATAAAACTCCATATCTCTTGAGTTCTTTTCTCCTTTCTTTGATAATGAAGGGGCCAAATAAATCTGTAGCACAAAATGAAAAACATGGACTATCATCCATTCTGTCTTTTGGTAAATCAGCCATTTTCTGTTCTTGAAATGTTCCTCTAAGTCTCCTACATTTTGTGCAGTGATGTATGAAACTTGAGACAGCAGCAATGCCAGAAACTATCCAAAATCCAGCAGATCTTATTTCATTGAGTGTAATTCCACGTCCTTGATGTTTCACGACTTCATGATAATGCTTGATTATCAGAGTTGTAATATGATGAGACTTGGGCAATATGACAGGATGCTTCAATTCTTCAGGCAAACTTGAATCTTTCAATCTTCCCCCAATTCTCAACAATCCATCAGATCTTATACATGGATCAAGCTTGAATAATGATGAAGATTTCTTTACAGTATCGAATTTCTTAGGTTTGTTCAATATTTCGATTTCATCTGGATACACTTGACACTGCATAAGTTTTAAAATTATCTTCTTAGCATCTTCCATCTCTTGTACAGTTATTGAATCAAAAGATGAAGTCAAATTCTTGTTTCTACGATTTTGAAGAATTTTCAGCCATCGGCATAAAATGACAACAAATCTCTGAGCTTTGTATAAACTTGAAAACATTGACAATCTCTCCAAAAGACTTGGGAAGGATTGCTCTTTTACTTCAGTCAAAAATGTCACAGAATTACGTATTTCTGGATCCGAAGCATCAAGCTCTTCGAATTCATGTGAAAACTCTTTTTCCACTGTAAGTGGTTTCCACAGAAAATCAGGTCCCTTTAGATATCGATCATGTTTGGTCAGTAGATCTTTTGGACACAAACCTCTTGAGGCATCATCAGCTGGGTTGTTCTTTGTATCCACATAAAACCATTGATTTGGCTCACTATGATCACGAATCTCTGAACACGGTTTGCCACATATATGTGAAATCGACGAGAATCATTTGAAACATAACTTTACTGTCTGTCCAATATGTTTCCTTGATGTTGACAAAATTCAATTCTTGTCTCAACATGACTCCAACCCGAACAGATACAAGTGCCGCAGTCAATTCCAATCGAGGTATCGTGATAGGTTTCAATGGTGCTACTCTAGACTTTCCCATCACGAATGAACAATGAATTTGATTTTTCTGATTGGTCAGTCTTAAATAGGTGCACTGGCCATATCCACGAGTCGAGGCATCACTAAAGTGATGTAATTCAGTTTCCTTGATTTCACCAAAATTACTTGGCTTGAAACATCGTCGAATTTTTAATTCGGCAAGATGATGAAGATCATTTCTCCATCGCTCCCATCTTGGTTTCAAATTATCTGGAACGGGTTCATCCCATTTGCACTTATCACGACACAACTCCTGAAGAATGCGTTTTCCTTCTAAGACAACAGGAGCAATAAATCCGAACGGATCATAGATTGAACATACTGTTGACAGAATTCCACGCCTTGTGAAAGGACGATCTTTCAAAGTAATACGAAAAGTGAAACTGTCATCCACAATACACCATTGAACACCCAGTGCTCTTTCAACTGGTATTGGGTTACTTCCAAGATCTAAATTCTTGAACTTTGTCGAGCGATCATTCTCATCAACAGCTTGTAAAACTTCATTATTATTAGACACAAATTTTGTCAAATTGAAACCACCTTTAGCACACATTTTCTTACTTGCTTTGATCAACGATGTTGCTTCTTCAACACTATCAACTGACTTTAAACCATCATCAACGTAGAAATTCTTTCTCAAGAATTGAGCTGCTTCTTCACCAAATTCCTTTTCATAGTCATCTGCAGTCTTTTGAGGACAAAATTACAGCACGATGGACTCGACGTAGAACCAAACACCATGACTCGCATCCTGTAACAACTAGGTTTTTTCGTGCAATCTCCATTGTCCCACCACAGAAATCTGACAAAATCTCTGTCTTCTTCGTTAATTCGAACTTGATAAAACATTGATTCGATGTCTGCCATGAACGCAATTTCCTTTTCACGAAATCGAGCAAGTACTGATATCAGTGAGTTGGTAAGATCTGGTCCTTGTAGCAAATGCCCATTTAAACTTTGACCTTCAAATTCAGAACTGCAATTAAATACAACTCTGATCTTGTTTGGCTTACAAGGATGAAACACTCCATGATGTGGAATATACCATACATATCCATGATTACCATTGTCACCATCGGACAATCTCTCAGCATATCCCTTTTCAATTGCATCTTTCATGAATGCACAATAAAGCTCTTTAAACCTTTCATCTTTCTCAAAACGCTTCTTAATTCCTTGTAAGCATCTGAGAGCTAATTGCTTGTTGTTTGAAAGCTTCACTTCTTTGTTTCGAAAAGGGAGAGACATCTCATAATGACCATCCTGTGTCCTGTGAATACTTGATTGACACTTCTGCAAAAATCTACGATCTTCGATAGAAATAGGTTTGTTCGATGTACCATCAATTTCTTGCTTTTTGATATTATTCTTGTGCATGCATTCAATGAAATCTTGTTCGAAACTTCTCAAAATCATGCAAGGGTTAATGACTTCTTTAACTTGATTTATAGGTACAAATTGAGGAGAAATGATGTCAGGTGCATACAGGTCATGTGATATCACTTTGTTACAAGTTTTGGTAGCATATCCACCAACACATACTGCATCAATCATTCCAACAACTCCCCATCCTAATGCTGTTTTGATAGCATAACTTTCTGTGTCGGCATCTGATATAATTTGCAACGGACGCAATGCTTGCATACAATCAGTGCCAATGAGTATACCAATATCAATATTAGGATCACAGTCCGGGATTTCATCTAGAATATCTTGGAACTTTGTATACTTGTTCAGAACCCTCTTGTCTATAATTTGATTACGATTTACTGGGATGGAATCTCTTGTGTAACATGGAGGCAAATTATCTTGTGGCCATTACAACCTAAAATTTGCAAGCCCATAATCTTGTATGAATCCACCACAGTCGAACTGGTCATAGTAGAAAGGTTCAATCTCACCTTAAATCCATTTGATTCCAAGCTTCGTCTGACATCATCCGAAATGAATGTGGTATCAGATTGTTCATCTAAAATTGCATAAACTTTTAATTTCTTGCTTGGTCGATCAGCACAAAGTATTTGTATTGGTACAATCCTTGTAGTTCGAATAACTTCTCGAGCTTCTGATGCATGACAGATTATACTTTTCTTACAATCAGCATTCGTTAAACTATTTTCTTCATTTGAATCTATCTTCGTCTTGACCTTGCGAACGAATTCTTCTGAATGTATGGCAGTAGGGTGACCTTTACCACAAGTTTTGCAAGTCTTTCTTTTGGTGCATCCTTTCGAACGATGACCTTTTCTTAGACATGCAAAACATATGCCATTTGACTTGATAAATTCGATTCGGTCATTGTAAGATTTCTTGAGAAAAGCTGTACAATCATTCAGATCATGTGATCCTTTACAACACACACACGAATCTGAGAAATGGGTAGTTTTCGACTTAGCTGTTTGTCGAGAACTGTGAACTTCTTCGCTTGCATCAATAGAGTACGAGTGAGAACCTCTATTATAAGTCCTTCTTCTAACGGGTACATTTGCAGCTTTCTTATTGTTAGCCACAAGTTCATCAAGTACTCCAGTTCCATACAGAGGAAGTGTAGTTACTTTCGATATTTTCTTGACATGATCACAGAATTCAGAAAATGGTGGAAAGCTTCCATGTTTTCTGTGATATTCACATGCATTTGACGACCATCTATCTCTTGCCGACTTTGGCAATTTCAAAACAAGAACTTGGATTAAGTCTTCATCATCCAATTTCTTCAGTAACGTAGAATTTTTTACCAATAGCTTACAACTAGTAAGAAAATGACAAAACTCACGCATTCCTTTTCCGCCATCATTCATAGGTATGATAGGCCATTGCTTCAGTCTTTGCTTGTAAGCTCTGGATATTGTAGCCGAGTCGCCATACCACTCCATTAGTGTCGCTTTTGCTTCATTATATGCGTTTTCATCATCTATGCCCATGAAACCTTCAATAGCCTTTCTTGCATCTCCAGTCGTATACTTCAAAAGATAACGAAGACGCCTGTTAGGGTTTCGAACATTTCTTTCAATAAGATCTTCAAAATCTCCAAGCCATATAGGAAATCTCAATAAATCACCATCAAAAACTTCTGGTTCTTCATTTGGCAATGAAGCCCTTTGTTGAATATCAACAACTGTTTCAACTAGTCTTTTAATTTCTGAACTACTAGCGCCATCTGCCGATGGGTTTTGTGGTGCAGTAGACAAATTCAATGGATTTGAAACTTCGTTTTCAGCAGTGTTCGAATAAGCAGGATTTGCATTCATATGATTTGTAACAAATGGTACAGCTGTATTTTCAGGTGCCGGTACCAAATTTTCATTCGTTAAAGCAGTTTGTTCAGCAGTATGGAATTGATGCGGACTTACTACAAAAGGTTCGTTCGGTGCAAAATGTGTCACATCACGTCTACTAAAGCTATCATTTTCACAATCAATTTGAGCAAAAATATTCTCTTCTGCTTCTGCTTTAGCAATTTCCTTTTGCAGATTCAGTCTTCTCTTGTCAGCTTGTAATTGTATTTCAGCTTGTTGTACGTTTGCTTGAAGCCTTACAGCTTCAGCTTTGAGTTTTGCTTCTGTTTGTGCTAGTTCTGACTTCAATTTTGCATCTGCTTGTGCTAATTCTGATTTCAATTTTGCCTCCTCTTGTGCAATTTTTACTTCAGTTTCAGCAAAACTAGCTTCTGCTTGTAATGAGGCTTTCTTGGCAGCTATTTCAGCCAGCCTAAACGCCACAGATGAACTCGATGATGAAGAATAAGATCTATGAGAATATCTTGAAAGACTGGTATGTACAGAACTGACATCTTTATCAGTCTCGATGCTTCTAATTTCTTCAATCGCTTTAGCACGAAATTCTTCAAACAAATGTTGAGCATTTATGAAAATATCATTTTCTTCATTAATAGCATTGGCATCAACTAACAATGCTACATACTCCTTATGTGCTGTACGATAGCCATGAAAACATAATTCGAAGGTTTTCAAATCGTCTTTTATAGTACGCAATGAGACACCATCATCAATACTTTTCAGGAGCTTCATTCTTATTTTTGAAAAAATTCAAATTTCGACTTACACCTTTCCAGAAGCATTTTAACTTGATATTCTTGTCCTTTTTCTGTAAGTGTTCTGCTACGTTCAGACCTTCTGGGATTTTCTCTCATATCATTACCAGAATTAGAGTCCACGTCATCACTTGCATTTGTAGATCTTGCTGTAGCCATGATTAATAATGTATATTCCCTTTTCTTGGTATAAATATCTTGTATTCACTGATAGGGTGAATTTCGCAAAATTACAATAACATGTTTATTGATCATCAATATTCTGATATTGTTCTACTGACTTGCTTAGTAGATCTTGAAATCTTTTACCAACTTGTTTGCAATAGTGTAAAATTGTTTACTAACTTGGTTAGCAAAGCCAAATCGTTTACTAACTTGGTTAGCAATCGACAAAATCGTTTACTATTACGGCCGCTGTTCACGATGCTACGAATCTAACAGTCTATTTAACCCTTTTGTCGCAGACTCGCAGTCGTATGTTCCGCCGTGTAGGTATAACCGTCGTTTAACTCACTGCTGCACTCACTGAAACCCCAAGAAACTGTCCAGCACAATGTTTTGATGTTACTTCCAAATCGTGTTCAAAAATGACCAAATGAAATAACTTAGATGTTATGAAGCGTTCCAAAATAGTGTCTCAGTGGACTGATGAAATGTTCCAATATAAAGTCTCAATGAATTGAAGAAGTGTGTAAACTGCAATTAAAATAAGAGTAAAACTTATAAGCAAAACACAACAGTGATGATCTAAAAATACCAGAGACATTGGCAAAATACAGTATAGGCTACCGGTACTTGATCACACGATAAAGAAGGCATGAATAACTTATGAATAAAGAGCAGTGTTTTACTTATTCTATACTAATATGAATTTGGAATGAAAATCATATATTAAGCAAGTAGGAACACTCAGCAAATGAATTCCTAAATACAGAAATATCTTCACATAAAATATGACTTACCGATTTTTTCGGCTAATAATATCACAAACAAGCAAGTACTTCAATATATAACATTAAACAATCTTAACTGTATGGAAAAGAATAATATATTAGACCAAATCAGAGAAGCACAAACCCTGTCAGCCTGTTCAACAAAATCCTGAAAATGGCGCAACCACGAGACAAACTTGCGCAACAATCTAAAGTACCACAATGAGGCGACAAAGGGCAATAAATAAAATGACGGCTGAGCCATCATTTACAAAATGTTTGACGGTTTCGTTTTCTAAGCAAGTGTCACAAAGTCCATTGTCGTGGAGTCCGGTTTCATGAAGATGATAGTTCAAACGACAGTGGCCTGTTTGTAGTCTAAACAAGATTATTTTATATCTTCTATATCAGGGGTTCTCAAACTTTTGGCGTTGCGGAGCCCTTGAAAAGGTTGAATATTATTCACGGATCCCCAAAATAAATGTTAAAATTGTTACTTTCTGATTAATATTCCTGAGTAAGTTAACGTACTTCACTCAATTTAAATACTAACACTTTTAATAGGGTTAATACAAGTCATAAATAAATCTAAATTTCAAAGATAAATTGTATAATATACTAAAGCTATAAATTCGACACATGACAAACATATAATAAATTAGGGGTCGAATTTTTTCCCCTCTTGACATTTTGAAGACTTAAAAGGCTGCTAATAACGTGCGCGATTGCATTTTGTTACAATCGCCGATTGTTTTCGTCAGCATGGCGTGTTTTTGAACCTCAAATCTTTACGCCGGTGTTTATTCTCCCTAAATAAAAAATTTCCTTCGGCATATGCATGTATTGTTCCACAATGAACGACGATAATTGCTTTTCTTTCCCGTGGGAATTATGAGTTCAATGTGAAAAACATGTTACCATATTATAATCATCGGCGACGAAATGCTAAAAATAATAGTTAATAAAGAGGTAAATCTGCAATTCAAATTTCTTGAATAAAAAGCGGCCTTCTAAAATATTAGAACTAAAACTCAAAATGGAAGATAACACTATAAGTTTTGTTTCAGCAGACTCACGTCAGAATAAAAACGCTGTTATAGACAATCGAAAATCATAAAATTTGGTGTTATGTTAGGTTTTCGGTTATTCATCGTAGTAACTGCGAAATTGAAACACAGTCATTTAATTATGCGTGCGATGTACCATTTTTCCTTTCTGAAACTACCGACAGAGCCGCATGCACTAAAATAAATTTCTATCGTTCGTATTTTGCCAAGACCTTGTGATTTTTCAAACGGCGACATCTTGCTTAAAAATAATCTCGAGTGCGAAAGAACAAATAAAGTTTAACAAATCCCAAGATCGCAAAAATACGACTCCATTTTATTTATAGTTAGCAGTTTATCACGCAGTTTATGTTATTTTAGACTAGTATTTTATCATTTTAGTAATCCTAATAGTAATTTCGAATCGAATGTGAGTAACGATGAGCACAATTAAATTATTACGACAAGAGTCAAGACCCTTTAGATGCTCGCATCGGTCATGAATTGAATATTTTACGCAACAGAGATCTCGTTATCCGTTTTTTTGAATCGTCAAGAATGTTGCGCGTAAATTTCCGATTTCAATTTTGAACCTCCTCCCTCTTAAGAATCCTGGCTGCGCTCCTGCTTATAAATAATGTCATTTTTTAATTCCACCCCTTTGCCATATTTCGAGGCTATATTTGTCAAATTTCATCAAAGCTAGTATTGCTTCTAGGAACAGTTTTAAATTAGCCAAGTCAGTATTTTGAAAAGTAATCGAATAGCTTGCGGAGCCCCTGGGTTACTCTCGCGGAGATTTATAAGATCTAAATATAATGATAAACACCGAATACCAAGCGGAGAAATGGCAGATCATTTTTATCAAACCGATCTTTCCAAATAGGGGTTGGATCCACTTATTCTAACTAATAGTTTTAAATCGGAAAAGGGGATGACTGTTCAAGGTAGTGTGATAAGTCCATTGCTTCTTACAATCATAATAAATGATCTTCCGAACAACATTTCCTCGACATCCAGAACATTTGCTGATGATTGCGCCACGTGGGAGATTGGTTTAAAAATCAACGAACTTATATCAAATAAATCAGTTCGTGATGTCAAGCGTGGGGATTTAACATCTCAATGACAAAATTGTGTGCTGTATCATTTTCGAGATCACGTAAACCTTCACCATTACATCTCTACATCGACGAACTGGAGTTGCCGGTTAAATCGGAGCATAAAAACCTTAGCGTTATATTCGACAACAACGTACAAAGCTCATGTGGAACATGTAACACACAAATGTGATAAAAGAATAAATCTGTTGAGACTTTTGACTGGCATAACATGGGTGCTTCCAGAGAAACTTTGCTTAAATTATACAGGGTCCTAATACGTTCAATAATTGAATACGGAATAGAAGCTTACTATTATGCACCAAAGTATGTAATTCGAGCCTTGTATATATCATCGTGCAGACTGATAATATTGTTCAATGTTGATCTATTCGACCTGAAACCAGATTGTGTTTCGTGATAATATAAACCTGTCCAGAAACCATTCAAATCTGTTGGCCACCATTTATTCCATGACTTTACAAAGATTACTTGTAAGAGATATCGGGCGATAAGATGACGGCGAGTTGTCCTTCTTCCCTGTTTTTAGTATAGGTACAACAATCGAGTGGTGCCACGCTTTCAGCACGCGCCCTTCGAACCACGATAAAAAGCTGTAGCAAGGTGGAAAGTATTTCTTGTGGTAAATTATTCATCATAGGATAACGTATTTGATCCTGGCCAGGCGCTGTGCTTTTACACGAATGAAGCACATTTTTTAATTCGTACATAGTAAACGGAACATTCAGCGAGTTCTTATAGTCGAGGTTTAAATTTATTACTGGATATATACCAATCTCAAAGTTTCGTTTTCTATCCAAAAAATGATTATTATAATTTCCAGCACTGCTTACTGTTCGAAATGTAGATCCCAGTAGATTTG